TCATGCCATGAAGAACAAAGCATGAATTCATGCCATGAAACAAACAACATGAACGCATGCCATTGAACAACTTTTCATGCCATGCAAAGAAGAACCATGAAAACGACAACCTGAAACAACAACATGAGAACATACATGTCCCTACCATCTATAGAGCCATGTCATGAAATCATGTAACCATGTAACCATGCTTCAAAAACACATACCACGCATGCAACCAAATCAGATTGAACCCTGTCGCGGCCTTAGTTGTTCAGAACCAGTTAATTGGCACACTGTTCACTAAGAACCGGCGGTGCTGGCAATGGAGTGGATCTGGAGCAGCAGAAGATCGTGCCCATGAAAGCTTGTTGTTGGACAGTGTTTGCGCTATACAGCAGGGAGGGAATTTCCACGCAGCTGGGGGCTCAAGACCTTTCGGGTTGCTTGGCTAATATTTGTCAGCTAGCATGCCACGTTTGCTAAAGCAGTTGAGTGAAGACCCCGGTGGACAAGTATGTGCAAGCCATGAGCGAGGAACAGAAATTGAAAGAGGCAGGATTTGCTATGACCTGCCTGCAAACTAGATAATTTCTTTTGAAATTGGCCAGGTCGGGTTCTCATTCATAACAGCCCATAGCGAAAACCTCTTCGCGAAGGACCAGGAGCCAACTCTGAGGGATTTGGAGCTAAACACTGAAGAAGCTCGCCTGCGTTTACATGCTGACTTGTAAATTTCCAAACAAGGCCTGTTTGATTTGCAGTATATGTGTCAACGCTCTCCAGGTGATCTTCTGTATCATGAGTGTGACACCTTGGATGCGGCTGTCTGAAGATGTCATTGGACAAGCAATCATGGAGTTTTATCGTCGGTGCAAATTGGTTCCAGTGGGGATCGCTGAGCAGGCCATGATGTCTTGGAAAGAAAAAATGAGTTATGCGGCCCGGAAGCTTGTGCAAAAATTCCGCCGGATGTTCGCAGAAACACCAACCAATGCAAAGGGCTCACAGCTCAAGGCACTAAAGGCCAGATGTCTTGAGTATGGCATCACTCCACCAGAGAGGTCACCGAGAAGGCAGTCTAGTGAAGGTGACGTGGTGGAACCTTTGCAAAATGAACCCTTGCAACCAGCTACTCATGAGGCGTTGGAAGAATTGGCCCCAGTTCCAAAGGCCAACTTGGACTTCCAGGCCTTTGGTGATCTCTACAGGCAGCGGTTGGCTGCAAGAGCTGAAGCTGATAAGTTGAAGGTCCCCATGTGTGAGAGTGGCAAGCAGCTGGAAGGCCAGGCACAAAGACCTGTCGCTACTCCAGCCCGCACCACGAAGCATGAGCTTCCGAGTTTTGTGGTTGAAGCTGTTTCCAAAGAGATGCCTGTGGTCAAACCCTTTGCCACCACGGGCGTGGAAGATGACTTGAAAGAAGAAGGAGAGATGGAGAATGAGGTTGAGACTTGTGGCAAGGCAAAGAAAAAGACCAAAGGCGGTACTGCGCCAAAAGCCAAAAGCAAGCCTAAACAGAAAGCGAAAGCCAAAGGCAAAAAAGGAGTAAAAGAAGAACTTGCTGGGCCAGAGGTGGAAGAAGCACTGCGCCCAAAGCCTTCACTTCAAATGGCTCCAACCGAGGCTTCGAAGACTACATATGTGGCAGGGCAGTTCAGCCAGATCCGTCTTGCCTTCATTGCTGAGTGCAAGGCCTCTGGGATGAGCCATGCTGATGCGAATTCCAAATGGATGCTGAGCAACAAGCGGGCCGAACTTTTGATGAGCCTGCCCGAGAAGGACTTGAAGAGAAGGCGCTTCGCTGCTTGAGCGAATTGCCCTCCTAAATTTGGGGGTCAGTGGCTTTTAGCCGCTGGAGCTGCTAGGGGAAACAGACGGTGTGAAAACATTGGACGCAAAGAAAGCATGCATGCATGTTGGCCTTCCCATGCTTTGCTTGTGAGGATGTGCCTTGCACGCCATGGCCACGACGGTTTTGGCCCGAAAGGGAACACATGTACATGTGTAGTACATGTAGCCATGGTTGTGGCTGAAATGATGCTGTGGAAATGTCCACCAATTTTGATCCTGGCCGTTTTGCATCTCATCCATGTGGAAGACCTGAAGAATGATGAAGTCTGGGTCTCATGCCTAGGAGTTTGAAAGTAGCTACCAACTTGAATGAGTTTGGGCGAGGTCTATGATTATGTTGAGTACTTCTCGGGCGCTGGGGCGGTCAGCGCAGCGCTGAAAGCCGCTGGGGGCTTGTTCCCGACAAGTGGAAAGGAGAATCCTGCGTTCAACTTTTGTGTTTGAGGCTGGTTTCCGTGGTGTTTCACTGGACATAGAGAATGGGGATTGCTTTGACTTTCTGACAGCGGCTGGCTTTGCGTGGTGGCCTCAGTATATGGATGTGTTTTGGAGCCTGAGTTATTTCATGGTTTTGCTAGGCTGTGCCTTCAATGCATCAGACGCTCCAAGCGTTCTGCGCTCCACATCTACGCCCTGGTATGCACATCGTTTTGCATGCCGTGCCTTGTATGCCTATAAACACGTGTGTGCTACAAGAAGTGCTTGGTCAAGGGTGTTTTGTAGCAGCTTTTGGAGGAGCAGTGGGACACATGGCAGAGGAGTATTGTTCCCGCAGGGGAACCAAGGGTACCAATTTGTGAGCATTGGAAATCAATTGGCGAGCAGGACTTGCTTGCTCATCTATTATAGCGTTGCCATGATGTGCAGATTTATTTTGGAGCAGCCTTCTGGTAGCCGTGCATTCCTCCACCACCGAGTGGACAAACTTTTCAAGGATGTGACGATCTATGAATCGGGGTTCTGGGGGGGGGGGCTTACGCATGCAATCGGGCTGATGCAACGCCGAAGAGGCATGTCGTGTACAGCCAAGATCCTTTCATGATTGGTAGGATTACAGCGTTGGCCGGGCATTTGTCTGGAAATGAGTTGGAGGAACTCCAACAGAAACAATTAGTGAAACGGTACAAGAAGGCTGATGGAACAGCTGGCTTCAGTGGTGATAAGGATGCTTTGAAGGCCTCCCAGTGCCTTGGCTCATGTTCATGCTGCCCTTGCCATGTACACCAGCTTCCAATCAACTTGTGCCGTGCTTGTCCTTCTACATCAGGGCCTACCATGCTCGCTTTGGTTGCCATCTGGCAAACCTTCTCATGGAGATGGGCTCTGGTGTGTGGCCAGCTCCCACCTCAGGAACACTCCCCACATAAAGTGGTCTCATGAGTTCGAGATGTATTGAGGCGTTACCTAAACCTCCATGTGAAGAAATGAAGACGAAACTCATGGAGAAGTCTGATGTTGAGCTCTTTAAGGCGCACTCGTTGTTTTGTTGTGCTGTGAATGTGGGCTCAATTTGCAGGCGACCGACTGGGCTTCAATCGACCTTTGGGCTGATGTCAGGGCCTGAACACTGGGTTGCAGGCGTGTGTGCGTGTGCATTGAGCTTGCATTCGTTCTAGCCGAGGCCAATGTACTGGATGTGATTCGCTATCTGAGAGGTAGCAAAACTTTCCGGCCTTCGGACCGTTGGGGGCCTCTGCTAGAGGAGGCGTACAATGCCTGCTGTCGTGCAAGCAGTGTCATGTGAAGTTATCACATACTGACATTCCAAATGAGAAATGTGGAGCGTTCATGTCGATTCACGGGTTTTCCCGCCGATATCCGTGGTTTTCACGCCGGATTCCCGGAACAAGGTCGCCAACTCCAAAAAAAAATAGGCCGTGAATTTCCCGTGAATTCGGCGTGAACGCCCCGGGTATCGGCGGGAAAACCCGTGAATGATTTTTTCAACATGCTTGGAAGCTGCCAACATGCAAATTTTGATGTTGTGTGGCAACTGTGAAGCAGATATGCGACCACACCTTGTTGGCCAAGGATGAAGCCAAAGAACTTTTGAATGAGTTCAAGGAATTGGTTTCTCAAAGCCAGCCCAGGAAGAAGCAGAAGACCAATGGACCCACTGCCCCTGTCGAGGGTGAACCCGCTGGACAAGTACCTGTCGAGGGTGAACTCGCTGCCCCTGTCGAGGGTGAACCCGCTGGCAAGTACCTGTCGAGGGTGAACCCGCTGCCCCTGTCGAGGGTGAACCCACTGCCCCTGCCCAGGAACCCAGTGAACCCGCTGCACTTGTCCAGGGCGGACCCGATGCCCCTGTCGAGGGTGCACCCCATGGTGATGTGCCCACAAACGTGAATACGCAGGAGACGCAGGAGCGTGAAGCTATTCCGCCCAACCAGCTTGCTTTACAGACTGCAAGTCCTGGCGTCCAGTCACAAAGGTGGGGTGTTTATGTTCAATTGTGTTGGTGTTGGGTGTTGTGAAATTCGTGCTGCAGGTCGATTGCCACCTTGCTTCGTGGACAGCAAATGTTGCGCAGCCAATCGACGCTCGTGGAGGTGGAGGACAGCCAGGCAGGGCATGTATACATGCATGTTTAAACTTTAACATGGAATGTCATGTAAATTAGCATGACATGTCTTAACATAACATGTGTCTTTCAACATGACATGTGTTCATGGCATGATGACATGTTCAACATGACATGTGTTCATGACATGGTGACATGTTCAACATGACATGTGTTCAGTTTGCACTGTAAGTACGTTACGCGCATACATGGGCAGTTGATCATGGCAGTTTGTATGTGGTTGCAGGAAGAGGAACCTTGGCCGCATGACCGCCAACCTAGTCCGACCAATTCATTTTGGGCTGCTGGTGAGAAGGGCGAAGAGCCTGCGCCAACTGTGCACTGGAGTGAATCGCAGGTTGCAGAAACTCTCAATGCTGCTGCTGGTGCTGGTGAGCCATCTCAGGTGGCGTTTAAGGAAGGGAGTCCGGGGTCCAGCTTGCAGCAGGCCCCGCCGACCAAACCCATGCCTCCCCCTCAGCCAGTTGCGCCTGAAGTTGGCAATGGTGTGGTGTACACGTCAACGAACTTCAGAAAGGAATACTCGGTCTTGCAGAGGGTGGCCACAGGCCCAAGGGCTGCCCAATTTAGTGAAGTGGCAAGGATGTTTAAAGGTACTGCTCAGGAGCGGCAGGAGCTCTTGAAATCCTTTGTGCAGAGCGGTTGCAACCTGGACGCCGTAAACAGCCAATTTGAGACTGTGAGGAAGCGGCAGGACACGCTTCACTCCAGGCGTCGCATGCTGACTGTCCGGCAGATGCGGGAGCTGAATTTTTCAGAGCAGCTTGCTTTGACTTATTTTTAATGTAGTCATTGACCGTTTTTAGTCACTGGCTTCTCTCTAAATCTACCAGTACCTCACCATGCCCAGGCCAAAGATTCAGGGCTGTGTTGCTCGCGGTGGGGTGCCGGACCCTGATGCGCCCAACTGCAGGGAGAGCACACGTTACTGGGCCTATGTGGAAGGTGAAGAAGAGCAGGTTGATTCAACTTCTGCTACCACCACTGTCTCGGCTGTTCTCAGACCTCAAGATGCGTTGCAAGCCTTTGGGGTGAACAACTCTCCCATGGCAACTGTGCATGTTCCGGGCCCAGCGGCCCTTGCGAGGCAAGCCATTGGAATGCCTGTAGAGACACCTGCCGCCCCTGCAGTGCCAGCACCTCCGGTTCCACGCGACTTGGATCAATCCACATTTGGTGTGACAATTCTACGCATTCCTTTGCCAATGCATTTTTCTGTGATGGTGAGGCGCCAAAGCAAAGGCAAAGGCAAAGACCAAGCCTGGCATGCTTCCCAATCCCCTCAGTGGGGTTCAGCTTGCCGGTAAAACGGTGGCAGAGAAGGTTGCCATGGCCAGCCTCAGTCTTAGAATTCACAAACTTGTTTTTCAATATCCAATTGTTGTGTTTTAAGGGGCCGAAGTGAAGAAGGAACTCACCGCGCTGGGTTCGCTGAAGTTGGATCTCGGTGACATCGCGCGCTTTAAGAGCGGGATCTTGGAGTTGGACTCCTTCAATGTGGCCCTCACCGGCCATTTCAAGAGGCAGCATGCTGCGCTTGTTCTATCTTGCTGGGGATGCCTGTGCTGTAAATGTGGTTCAGGCTGGCGGAAGTCAAAGATGAGACCAGCTTCAGCTCTCTCATCACTGATGTGTCCACCAAGGCCTGTTGATTTTGTGGCCTGTTCCATTGCATCTGACAGAAGTTGCAGGTGGCAGACAGTCGCTTCAAGCGAGCCGAGCTGTCAGCAGTTCTGAAGGAGGTCAAGAAGTCTTGCTGCCTTGTCTTGATTTTGAGGCTTTCCCATGTCATGTATCTTTGCGAGAACTTGCCAGGAACTATGCTGCTGGCAGCTGATCAATATGGGCTTCAGATGGAAGCTTGATTTTGGTGTTCTCATGACATGAAGCCGGCTGTGATAGCTCACACTAGCTGAGTGAATCTATGGGGTTCTCTGTCCTCAGACTGTGCAGCTTGAAACATGGCCATAGCGAAGTGAAAATGATTTGTTGCAGTGCGTTTGCATGAGGTCTGCACGAGGTTTGCATGAGGTCTGGTTTGTGTGTTGTTTTTTCGACCCTGTCCTGATCCAGGTACGACGCCGTCCAGAAGAGCTCTTGACGCCAGGTGCGGGCATCTTTTGGATCGTAAGTTTCAGCCTCGTCCAGTGTGGCTAGCAGGCTGGCAGCGGAGGTTGGCCTAGGTCAGGCCACGATTGCATCTGCAAATCGTATTGGCCATGCATATGCTTCAGCTGTGTTTGGGTGTGGGCCCTACACTGTGTTTGCTTTGTTCAATGGACGCCTTCCTTTTGCCCTGAGGTCTGCGCGCGACAACAGGACTTACAAGAAATTGTGTAAAGCAGGCCTGGCGTTTGCAGATGTGCTGACCTACATCCAGGTGCCTGTCATCAACAAGAGTGGGGACCTTGAGTACCAAGCATGGCCCATTCTTCAACCTCATCACTTGGTGCAAAACTCATTTGCCTTGTGTCAAGAATTTGTGGATTTTGTTTGCGATCCGCTGTGGATTGGTATCAGGTGGATGCACTGTTGGCCAATGGCCACCGAGATATCTTGGGGTATGTTGGTGATCAATATTGGGACGTGCTCAGTTCGCTTGGGCACCCAAAGCCTCCACGGGCAACTGACGCTATAGGAGTTGCCTTGTATGGTGATGAGATCCAGGTTTGGGATGGCGTGCAAATGATGTGCCTTTGTTGGATGTCAGAGTCGAGCCCTTTCTTGAAAGATCCACCGAAAAGCCGATTTCTCATTGGGTGCATCCCATGCTCGGCTTACTACAAAGAAAATGGTATCAACTGGACTCTGCAAACCATGCTTCAACATGTGACGAGGTCATTCAACACCTGGCACAGTGAAGGTGTTCATGACCTACACTGTGAAGTAGTCCAGCTGAAGGGAGATTGGAAGTTCATCAAGGAAGCCCTCAATTTGTGCAAGCACTACGGATCAAAGGACACACTGTGTTACAGGTGTGAAGCTACCAGATCAATGGTGGCACCTTTTACTGACATAACTGACGAAGCAGAGTGGCGCAGTCAAGTGCCAACAGTTCCTTGGGATGTTGTTCCTTCCCTCCTCCAGATTCACAATTTTAGCCTCATGTCCGCGGGGATAGATTTACTACATTCGTGGCACTTGGGGCTGGGAAGAGATTTGATTTCCAGCACAATGGTTGTACTTTTGAGAAGCCACATCTTCCGTGGGCGGAATGTTGCTTGGTAGTTTTTGGCGAGCTTTTTAGAGTCTTTTTTGTAGCGGTGCTGCCCTCTCCTGGTACAGAGCTTCCTGTTGAGGTTGAAGAAAGGATGGAGACTGCGAGTAAACTCCTCCGTGACTTCGCCAAGATGAATGGTCCTTCAAGTTTTCCTTCCACTTGGAGATTCAGCCGGAAAAATTGAAACTGAAGTCAAATAAATATGTCCATTTTTCCGGAAAAGGATGGCAATGCGCTGTCATCTTGAAGTGGTTGGCTTCGCTCCTGCAGGATCCTGTGCAATGTGATCCTCTGGTCAAGACAGCCGTTTGGTCGGCGAACAATGTGCTAGGGCTGGTCCACAGTGCCCGAAAGAGCAGCATGTTTTTGACGGAAGGCCAAATCAACCAGGTCAAAGTGATCGGCCATCTATTTTTGTCAAGCTACCTGCGTTTACATGTGGCGTACCAAGGCTTCTGTGTGTATCGGCTGTGGAACGTGCGGCCTAAGTTTCACTTGTTCACGCATCTGTTGGAAGACTGTGTGTCTGGAAGGAATCCATGTCTTGCCTCGTGCTGGTTGGACGAAAGTTGGCTCAAGAATGTGCTCGCAGTGGCGAAGAAAGTTCACAGGCGCACAGCGCAGCAAAGCATACTCACCAGGTATCTGACAGGACCAACTGTGTTGTGGTCCCCTTGCTTTGTTTTGGAGTGTGTGTATAGGTTGCAGGATTGAAGCATTCAATGCAAGAAGCTCATCATTGGTCTGGGCCTCAGGTTGCCATGCATGCATGCTCACATGTACGTAACATGTATTTCCACATGCCATGCAGTGTAGTTGCACATGTTTTACATGTATTCTCACATGCTCTGCCACATGGAGTTTTACATGTATCGTCGCATGTGTTCCAACATGTAACATGTACATGAGTCTTTCCACATGATGTTTCCGTTTTGTGTTGTTGTTGTTCAGGTTGGATTGTGGGCTCCGCTGATCGGTAGTTAGACTTTGGCGTTTCACTTGCACGTGACTCGAGACAGGTGAGGAGAAAATGATGCATTGGATTGCCATGTGTGGTGGACGTGGCGTTGTTTTGGGTTTTGTGGTGGTCTTCATCCAAGGGAAGTGTCATGTTTGACAACTTGGTGTTTGGGGGTGGGGGGGTGATCCTGCTGGTGGGGGTTTTGCTGTTGACATGGGCTTGTCGGCGGGTTTTGGCGCTGAAAGGACGCTCCAGGAAGACGCATCTTCAAAGACATGTTTATATATGCTAGCCGGTTGACAACCGGGCTGGTAGTCGTGCCTGTTCAGGCGGGAGCCTGGGGAGGGAGCCTCTGGAACGTGCAGCCCGTGC